CAAAGTGTATTTAGTTACAACTGTATTTCGGTATAGAAGTATTAGAATTAATAACAATGAACAGGCTCTAATAAGTACAAACAAGATTTAGATGGTTTTATATTACAAGTAATAAAATAACAGACTAGTGTAATTTAATAGGATAATAACAAGCATTCACCCGCATAAGTATTGGTGGTAATTTCATTGACTACGGACATTTATACACTACTATTAAGTCTGATTTACTGGAACGTATAGACTGCTTAACATGGCACCACCACAGAAGCTAGTGAAATTACAAATGTGTTCTTATACCAGTAAAAGTTGGTATTTTAATTAACAAACGGTACACACTTATTGATTACTATATCAATTAAGAGTAAAACAAGCAAATCTTTTCATTAATGAAAGAAAATCGGTCGGTCTTATGCAACCGATATCTAGTAATGACCAAACGCAATGCAGGCATTACTAGATCGTCCCTGCTTTGGCTGTGATATTTGACAAGTATTTCTTTGTAACTTGGTCATTGCTTTGGCCTAAGTATGTACGACACGACATTATTAAACTTGTTATAGTGGGGATAACGAGTTAAAAAATATCTTCCGAAAAGGGTACAACCAACAACGAAAACAATAATAGTTGCACATTGACAGCTAGAAACGTATGGAATTATGATGTGGGTGTCCCTTAGTTAATAGTACACACCAAAACCAGATCAGTCATGTCGAAAGAACAAGATTTTATGGGACCTAATTATATTCAAGATAAAGGATGTGAAAATTTTATTCATTTGTTTTATTTTTTCCAATAATGTTTAAATAAATCGATATAACAGCACGAAATTAGGGAATCGGGTTTATTTGGGGCGACAAATTAAAATTCATTCATATTTTTTATGTCATTAATAAAGGGCACCACACATTCCGCATCTTTTAAATAGTACAACTTTTATCAGGTTATTTTTAAAGTCAGAAAACACGTTATCTAAGAACAGAGACAGCAGACTCGTTATTTTTTACTTAAATACGATTTTATTGCAGTCAAAGGTAGGTACTTAGGTAGGTACTGACGATAGTTAGATGCCGAAACGTTGAAATAAAAGTTTCACAATACTGAAACTGTTGAAAAGTTGCAGTGACTAAAAGCGTTTAGATTTTTAACAGTATGCGGGTAAAATTGATGTATCTTACAACCAGGGAAAAATGGTTGTTTTTGTATTTTTGTAACTTTCTCGAAAAAATCTGCCGAATTTGAGATAACTCAATTAGAAAGGCCCACAATTTTCTAGTTTCCTCATAACTCAAGCAGTAAGTAGCTACATTTACGAGTACATTTCCATCTGCTTTGAACATACCGTACAAGAGAGCGTTGTCTATAATGAACATTAGTTTATATCATAATTAATAACACTTATGTTGCAGTTATCATGTTTTATTACATGGATGATGTAGGAAATTATTTGTAAAAATATTAGAGCAGAAAAATTTTGAAATAACTATACCTGCCTAATTAAATTGCGTAATAATAAAATTCCTTCCTTGAAGAGAAATTGGCAAACGTATCCAACAATTACTTATGAAATAAGAATGTAAATGTAGTATAGTTAATAGGAATTGCTAAAATATGAATCAAAATATCTTTTAATCTATTATTTTTTTTTACAAGAGACCATAACTTTTATCACTAGGTAGTATTTTGAAACTAAGAAGTTGCTACATGACTTTTGGTCCAATATCAACAGAGTTACGTACCTCATAACATCTTTAAAGCTTTAGAATTTTAACTTTTTTTGTATGTGCAAGACTTTTCAGTAAGCAGTCTCACTTTATTATACCCATTCAACTTGTACTTAGAAGGTTGTTCACCCAAAAAACTAGACCCATTGCATTTCGACGCCTTATAAAATGCGTTTCAAACTTTTGAGGCACATCTTGAGTAGTCTTTGAATGTGAACAATCGGTACATTTTTAAAAATTTAGGGGTAAGGTAAATTCAAACGGCTAACTGAAACAAACCCTCTACAATGCAGTGACCCCTCGCGGTCATGCTTCACTGATTTATGAACCATCTGTTGCCGATAGTGGGATTCAGGGTATGCGATCCTATTCGAACGTGTTCGTAAGATACAGACTTCCCGTCTTCCGGTCGTACTTAGGCACACCCCAAGGAGGCGCGCGTTACACGCCGGCACGTGCCAACGGAAGTCGCAACGCATATCCGCCACAGTCCAATTCTCTTCTGGTGCATCTGTTATGGAGTGCCTTCTCCTGCATACCTTACTGTTTCAAGACGTTGATACATAGATACGTGTATGGATTTTTCTTTCCATGTTTGAAGATAAAAGTACTTCCGGAAAAGAACGTGGAAGGAAAACTACACTAATTAATTATGCTAAATCATATTTTGCCCTCTAATTATTGTCTTGGATTGGTTGAATCTTGTGGATGTTCCAGTAGTAGTATACAGGGTGATTCTCAAATGGTGATCAAAAATTAAATCTCGTATTCTTTGGTGAATTTTGGACGCTTCTTTAAACAGATACAGGGTGTTAAACTTCAAAAAATATTTTAATTTTTTTTAAATACTTTAAAATCTAGTAAACATTGTCCAAAATTTGAGGGCTTTTGTTTACTTCTTTTTGTGTACTTCTTGTTTAGAATGCAACGAAGAAAAAATGGGGATTACCAACTAATACCAGTTAAGATAAAATATTACTTAAGAATATTTAAAGATTTCTTATTGTTCTCTATATTTTAAATAAAAAATTAATCCAAAAATCGTTCTAAGGTTAAATAATAGAATTGAAGTAAATAAAAAATGTTTAGCAAAATACTTTCTCTATTAAAGAAGCAAAATTTGTAATATTTTAAATCAGCACATATTTGTCCATGAAAAAACTTTTGTTTATGGATTTTTCCTTTCTAGGTATCCTAGAAAAGTGACAGCAAGATAAATAAAAATAATTTTTTTTTACCTAAAACCACATTTTCATCTGGTGCATCTGAAGTTGCTTCTATTATTTGTAGCTACTTCTTAATATGTACATTAATGGTTTATGTAATATAACATAAAAGTTCGCTGTATATTTTTTCAATGAGATATATATGCCAAAAATAAATAAGTCAGTTCTTGTTTAAAATAAAACGGAATATATAACTTTAATAATAGTTGTGCGTAAGTCAACATCCCGAAATAAGCAAAATATAAGTACTGCATTACGAAAGTCGCAGAAAATGGAACAGGATAATATAGTCAGAGTCTATGTTATGCGTGGTTTTGGTAATATCTAATAGGTGGTCCTTATAATGACCGCTCCAATTATAATGAAGTTTAAGTGGAGATATTTTACTAGAAAGGACCTGATCATCTTCCTCTTGGATGTGGATGGTATATTTTAGAATATTATCGAAGAAAATACGTGTTACTCTTCACACTTCAAAGGATCTTTTTTCAATTTGTGTTCAATCATCAATTTCGTCTTTTAGCTAAATGTCCATTAGGTACAAAACCCTCATTGTTAACTTCATAATCGTCTTTCTCGTCAGTAAGTTGAATCACTTAACGATTCCAATGATGAAACCCATAAAGAAAATAAAAATGAGAAAGACGATTGCCGAGAAAACCAATTTTTTGTACCTCATGGACAGTGAAGACGAATTTAGTGACGGTGAAAAATGAGTTCGAACAAGATACAACGCTCAAATTGAAGTATGTTGACTGTATTTGATAAAACGAAGAAGTTATTCTGTTTTACTAGTATTAGCTCTGTCCGACTTTAATCTTACTTTTCTGATCAATACGTCATTTGAACCAAAACAAAAAATAAACAATCTAACGTCATTACTCAAGAAATTTGCTGTACAATACGTCGGTCACAAAATTACCGAGGTTTCCGATACTAAATTTAAAAATTTTCTCATTGATCTATATCAATTCTGTAGTAAATAGAAAAACCACTAGTCCATATTTTTAGAGATGAACCAACGTGTGACTATAAACACTACAACATTGCTCAAAATAAATCTGAACAAAAAGTTGTATTCTACAACTTTATTATCCAGACTGTATTCATTAATAGTACAAATATCGTACCAAAACTACCTATAACTGCCTAATTATGTAAAATTTTTTGAAATTTCAGGAAGAAAAAATAGAAAGTAACAGATCACTTTTAAACATGTATAATAAAAACAAAAATTTCAAATTATTGTAACTATTTTACTAATGACTGTTTTACTGCTGTTTTTCTTCAAAGCGTTTGTAAAATGACGTTAACTATTATAATTTATTACGCTAAATTTAAGTACTGTATACGTTCCAGATACATTTCCCATTGATTAAGAATAGTCCGCGAATAAATCGAATTCTTAGTGCGGTCTGTGAAATCGATTTATGCAGTTATTTATTGACGGTGCTTTGCCAAAAGGCTTTTTTCTCATTTGCTTCATGTGTCATTTTAGTTGTGGCAGGTAAATACTTTGAAATCGATGGCAGCTATAAATATATCTACTATTATTTCATATTTTTTTGGATGTGGACCAAGTCGAGATCTATAAATACGATATTATCAACACATCTTAAGAAATATTTAATTTCGTCGGTTTCAAAATAATTTGGAGGCAAATAGGAAATGAACCAATCCAAGTCAAGCATTATTTCACTGTCTACCTCTATTATTCATAGACAGACGTAAAATATATGGTAGCATTATACATATTTGATAATACTATAAATGTATTCTTTCAATTTATGTACGTAGGTATCTTATGTAGAGAGTAAACGGAGCTTTAAAAATAGTAGTATTTAAACCACTGGTTGAAAAAATAAACTTTCTTTACTCGGTCTAGCAACACAGACCCATTATCCGAACAGCTACACTCATTTTTTAATTTCAAGTCACAATACATTGGTTAAGAAGAACACGTCTATATTTTACAACAACAAACTTTACAGTATTCAAGCTGCCGTTGGGTTATTTACCGCGCTTTGTTGAAACAAATACGTTAGAAACTTACCGCAGAAAAAGTTCAGGACGAAAATTAGATAGACTCTTTTATCCATTTTGCAATTTCACTAATTAAGTACACCAATACACTAACTCATACAGTTCAAAAAGTATTTTTCAACCCGTGAATTGGGTGTCCCGCCGTTTCCAATCTATTTAAAAACTACCGCGCTACTAACCTAGCCTGCGTGAAGTTCAACAGCGAACTGCTTGTGGATCTATTTTAAAATTTTACAGGCACGATGAAGTTAACCATGCATATAGGAGGATCGTATGGTCAGTGTGCATGTGTATGGACGTTATCATTGTACTTTAATATGTGGAAATAAGTTTGGTAAGTAGATACATCTACCTGTCTACGTGCGATATGTAGTAAATAAGGGCAGATTTAATAAATATTTGCAAAAGGGGACTGACTGCAACTGACATGAAGTGTAATTAAATGTTGGAAAGATGGATCTAGGTCAATTAAAGTTAACAGAGAAAAAATAAAATGACAGTCGGTAATGCTGTCTTAAATTATAAATATATAAAGTGTCTGTTAGAAATAACCAATTATCCAAAATTACCTCTTGGTAACATCGGCATTACCATTTTACGGAGAATCAAGTTAATTGGTCATGGATTTTGCAGTTCTTTTACAGATATAGTAGCTTCAATTTAGATTTTTCCCCCTCAAAAGTGAATTCCAAACAGTATTTATTTTTTGGATTAAAGAGACTCCACTATGGGCTTCTGAGTTTTATTTACCCATTTATTCTATACACATATTCTTACTAGGTATCTAATTGTAAAATTAACTTAAACCACTAAAAATTCGAGCCTTACAAGAAAAGAAAAAATTTTCGTTTCTAGATATCACTCCAAAATATTTCCTAAGAGCTATACAGTTTCTAATATATATCTATATTATTTCTAAAAAACAAGGCTCGTATTCTTTGGTGAATTTTAAGGGACGGCTTTCCCGTAAAGTTTTTTCTAGGACGCTTCGTTAAAAAGATACAGTGTTAAACTTCAAAGAATTTTTTACTCATTTAGTTTAACCTAGAATTTCTCGAAAACTGTTCATTTTATAGAAATTCAAGGAAAATATATTTTTATTGACTAGCATGAGATCTATGCCTCGAGGACTGCTGTAGTGAAAGTTGTAATAAGAAAACTGATTTGGTAAGTACCATTTGAACACCCCGTATATCGGAAACTGAGGCGCCTGGGAGAGGCATATTTAGGTTTTCATCTATTTTTGTCTTGCTTAGCATCCACTTAAAATTGTGCCACTAAGTTAAGGGTAGGTATCTTTGAATCAAGACATCCTTGACCCACTAGTTTAAAGCGGATATTAGTTAAATTTGTAATGTGAATATAAACAGTTGCGTTGTACGCATTTGAAAACAATGACACAATTAGAAGAAATCACATTGGACATCATCTAGGTATCGACAATATTTTGTTTCTGAATTTTATTAATCTCTACATAACCTAAGTATATATTTCGAGTAGTCTATTACTGAGGCATATTTCCAAAAGATCATAACTGAACTTTCAACGTGTTCTTTACCAAATTTCTATAGAAATAGATACTGTAATTAGCACATCTAAGTATTTTTCAGGAAGACCAAGAAGACACCGAAGATCTGATCAAATATGAAAGCCCTTCTAACAGTTTTCTTCGACTACAATGGAATAGTTCATACGAATTTTTACTGTCCGGCCGTACAGTCAATAAGTTTTGTTGCGTAATTTGCGTGAGCCAATAAGGAGGAAACAACAAGAGCATGAGACAATTCCTGGATTTTGCACCACGATAATGCACGTGGCTAATCACAATGCCGCAACCACCCTATCCTCCGGACATGACCCTCGTGACTTTTTCGTATTTCCCAAACTCAATAGAATACTTAAAGGAATGACGTTTTTCAACAATTGATAAGATAAAGGCAGAATCGCAAACCGTAATCAAGATGATAGCTAAAGAGGTCTTCCAAAAGTGTTTCCCAAACTAGAAATTACGTTGACATAAGTGTATCTGTATAATATCACAGGAGGGTTACTTTAACGGAAATGGGATAAAAATTAAAGATTATATAAATACGAGTGCTTTTCTGAGAAAATTAACAATTCCCGTTTCTTTTTGATCAAACCTCGTATACACCCTGACGTGATCTATATAGGAAAGCACAGCGAAAAATGGTGACATAAACCAACCATAGCAAGAGCTGGTAAACGAAATTAGAGAAAAAAAATGGTAAACTATAATCTATCTAATCTATCAACCCATTTTTTCTTTTTTGAAAATAGTACAAACGAAATAACGGATGAAATTAGTGAAGTGTTTATTAGAACTGTTTTCTTCAAAATATCTAAAATTATTATTTTACAAACGCTCCTACATTTAGACACGTACAACTGCGGCGATTTAAAAGAAAATAATACCTAGTATATAAGCAATATTTAAATATTTGATTTAAGCTACTTTTACAATAATTGTACTTTAACCATTGTCATATAAAATTTCTTGGAAGTGTGTCTGAAATTTGTAGCTTTGTATAGGGCCCTATTCATCAACAGAGAAAAAACTAAATAATGTAACACTTATTAACAAATATTTTTAATGGACGTAAAAAAATGTGTCAACAATCGACTTAAGTCTTTCATCTAATGAACTGTTATCATATCAAAGATAAATTAGATTTGAAATGGAAACCTTATTAAAAAAAACACGTAGAGAGGTATTCATACTCAGAAGCCTTTCAGTGTTTGTATCTAATTCGCCTATTTAAATTAAATAGCTTTATTAAAGTGTAAAGTGTGTTTTCTACTCAAATGATTAAAAAAACGTTTCACTTTCAAGTTGCCAACGTTTTAATAATATGGAAGTTAAAACGATATTTCATAAAATCAGAATGTTTATTGTCTTTAAGAATCAGGTCATAAAAAGTATGAGGTTAAAACTGATAACTGATCCTAATTTGGAAAAATATCGCACAATATTTTCTTGTGTTCAATTTGGCTCTAAAAACGCAATTAAAAAATTGTCTTTTATTTTTCCACTTTTACAATAGATAGGTAAAAACTATTTGTATGTTCGCCTACCTTCAAGGCACCCTGACACAACAGGTGCTACAACTGAATAGTTCTGAAGGGTGATTCACATGACAGACACCAAATAATCCGTCACACACCAGCAACCACCCAACCGTTTTGAGTAATGCTGTACTAATGGAAATATAGAAATAAACAAAATATTTTCACGAAATAGTATACACATTTTATTTGAAATAGCAGAGCTTATAGTAACTTTGGAAAGTTATACTAGCAGAGTACTCAATAATGCATTTCTATGGGAAAAAGTGTATCTTTAAGCTTTATGATGCTTTTCATACAATCTGATGATGATTGAGTCGTCATTGCAAATACAGTGATCGAAGGGTTAAGAGGTACATTAAAATCTCCAAAAATAATCTTTTTAAATACAGTTTGCCACAAAAAATATGAAGAGAACGTGGTGAAAGGAAAACTGTAAAAGTTTAATCTTGTACTTTTATGAGCAGAGACACATCATACTATTTGTTAAAAAATTTTCTATTCACTATGGCAGAAAAGCCCAACTAAACATTTGTTGATAGCTGTTATATTTACAACAGCTGTCTTCAGTGTTCAGTGTCTACGTATTTGTTAACATGTTTGTTTTGGATCTGTATACAATTTTTTTTACCTTTATAGGATAAGAGAATGTGTTTTGCGTTTTTTAATTTTAATAACATTGAGTTATCTCCTAGGAAGAAAGAGTTTTAACTACCTACATACTTAGTTATGAAAGATTTAAAGGGTGTTTTAAAAGACAAAAATGTCTAGCATAAATGATTTTTAATAATTCATCAATAACATGAAACTACATAAGAAATTACGAGTTATTTCTTAACAGACCTAATATGCATTTTTATTACCTCTAAATCAACGGAAAAGTGGTTAATTTCATCAAACACCATATCTTTCATTTTAGTTTCAAATGTCTATAGATAAGGTTCTGCTCTTTTATTTATTATTTTCTATATGACCAATTGTGTACTCCAGAAATGACAGAATGTTGAAGATAATAAATTAAAAATTATTCTATTTACTCTTTTGGGACTCGTAATAAGACCATCAAACTTTAATATACAGGGGTTATATGTAAATAAGTGCGAAATATTTTGGGGGGTGGTTGCCAGTTATTTTGTGAAAAAAATGTTCACATAAACGTGGGACGAAATATGCTTTGTTTTATAAATACAGTGTTTAAATTTTAATTTTTTATTTATTTTTATCAATTATTTCAGTTTTAAAGTTATTGACTCGAAATTTGAAAAACGCTTTGAAGAGATAAATGTTCATTTTTTGGGATGATCCGAATATTTCTATTTGAACCAGTGGCGTTCCTGCGAGGATGCCACAAACTTTTTTTAATAGAAAAAAAATGGTACGCCACTGACTTTTTCCCGTTTTTATGAATCCACCATCAATTCTGAACGAAATTGGTCTCCCCATTTTTTTTCGTAGGATGCACCATTTTATTACTAGTTGTATATTTTCAATTCCTATTGATACATTATCTAGTAGGTTGCTGCATTGACTATGAGTGTATATAGTCAAGGGTTGGTGGGTTATATATTAATTAATATAATAATAATTAATACAATCATAAAATTTCGAGTCAATATCTTTAAAACTCTTTGAAATAATTAATAATAATAAATAAAAAATTAAAACTTAAACACTGTATCTCGGAAACGAAACATATTTCGATTTACGTTTATATGAACTTTTTTCACAAAATAACTGACAACCACCCCCAAAAATATTTCGCACTCATTTACAAACACCTTGTTTAATAATTTGAAATTTAAGGTGGTTTCTGAATTCTTATGATGTATTTAAATGATGACGAGAGTATAAAAAAATTAAGACAAATTATTGCATCAAGATTACATTTATTCAACTTTTTTATAGTCTTACAGAAGAATTCCCTTATTCTACTAGAATTGAACACGTTTTATTGGAAGTGACTCAGGAAATTAAATGTTTGTTCAATCCCAGTAGAATAAATAGCCGATGGTTTCAAATCTGGAAACCTAGTGATGCCTCCATTCTCTCTAAATTGAATATTTATTATAAATGTTTTTTATTGGATATTCTGAAAGATCATTCTGTATTAAACTACATAAAAATATCCCCCTGAACTGCTTATTGAGCACAGACTGTATGTTCATGCAGTTAGGGCAAAGTTGCAGAATTTGATGTTGAATAACATTTGTAGAAGACATTTTTTTCGTTTTGAAGTTAGCGACGAAAAACAGAAAATTTTGATATTAATTTTTGTATTTTTTAGAAGACGAGGTAGATTTTTTAATGGCAGACACTGTTGGAACACTCTTTCGTGAGGAACTCAAATATGCACACCATATTAGGATTTTCACATTTAAATTCAGCGAATTTTTCAGATAATAATGATTTCACATATAACATGGCTTACTTTTTACAAAAAAAACCATATTAATTTTTAAACAATGCTTTCAAAGTAAAATATCCAATTATTACTTTGAATCAAATTTTGTCAGTACACTTAAATTTTCATCAACAGAATTAAAGTATAGGTATTTAACTGGAAATGCAATTTTCGCAAGAAGAAAAATAAGATATGCTTCAAACTTATTGATTAATTAATTTGAAAAATATCCTGCTCTTCGTAATGTAAAAATTGTATTTTTACTTATCTGAACTTTGAAATTGGCAAAAAATATAAGTTTGAAAAAAAAATTAAAATTAAATTTTTTTAAATTATTTTTGTCAATAATTTCAAAATCAAAAAGAGAAGTCCCTTCAAAAAGTCATTTATCAAGTTAGACCAGTACTTGTGAAACAATAATTGTACAACAATCAGGTCTATAAAACTTCATTTGGGCCTCACACCTTCTATAACGAATCCACATTCTAGATGTGGCGCGTGAAAAAGATTCTTAACAAACGTATTAGAATATATTGAAAAAAAGAACCTGCAAAGAGAAAAAAAATAACTAAAATAAAATGTACCTATATCAAAAAATAAATATGAAACAAAGTAATGGTTTTTTGGGTTGTTGTGCTGTGAGCTACAAACTTGGTCACTGCTAGTTACATTCTGCCATGCA